GCTTTTGCCATATCTGCATTACGAATTAAAAATATCAGAACAAATTATCAGAAATAAAATTATCAGAATCGAGGGGCGGGGGAGTCTGCAAACGGACGATTGGGACGGTCCGGACCGTCGGCAACGGACGGTCCGGACAATTCGGACCGTCATTAAATCCGGCGTTCCGGCGTCTGATCGGTGCCGGCCTGAACTTTGGCTCTAATATTATTTTTTCTACCATTTAAAAAAAATATACGACTTCAATAAAAATAAAATTGAATACTACAAAAAGATACTTACCGAATTGAAGTGCTGAAATTTAACTAAATTTTTCTGTTGAGGTTGATAACTGATAAGTTTATGAAATTTTGAGGTTGAAGTGGATGAAAAATGAAAGAGTTTTTATCGTGTTAGAGTAAATTGATGAAAAGATTGACTTCGTTTTCAAATTTCAATTGAGACTTGTTTGGATTTTTATTTGTAACTTAAGGATATTTTTGTCTTTTTACCATATTTCTATTTTTGTAATTATATAACTAATTTAAGGGCGTTTTTGTCTTTTACACAAGAAATGGCTATTGTGGTGAATGTTAGATTTTTATGGTTAAAATGGAAAATGGTTGGTTTTACAAAGCCAAACTTAAAAGTACCCCCCGCGCCCCGCCCCCCACAAAACAGAGCCCTAGATGCACTGAAACCCAACCTGTTTCCCAGCTGAAATTCCCTTACCCAAACCATTTCTCCGGCACATTTTTGAAGATCGTCTTCTCTGGTAGATAATTTACTTAAGACCGTCTTCTCCGGTAGCTGATTATCTAGTTCGACTTGTGCATCAATCAGTCGCAGCTGTAAATGAGTAAGTCATGGCGACCCCAGAAGAGGGACAAAAGATTCGTATAAGGGCAAACAGTCGGGTCAAAATGGATACGAACCACTTCAGCGTGGTTGGTAGTACCAGTACACACAATTTTGTAATCCAGGTTGTGAAAATGGCCCTGAGAATAACCCACCTCAGTTTTCACCACTCCCTCCACTCTCTAGAACGCCAATTCCACTCCCCAGAAACACCCAGCAGCAAATTGGGCTAATTCAAGACCGGGTTGGTTCGGTACATCCAGATCCGGGTTGGAAGCCATTGTTGATTATCCTTCTGCTCTATAGTTTTTTGGTGATGAGCACAATTGACAAATCCGTGTATAATAAATAGAATATATGGAGATAAATCAGCGAAAGAGAGAGATAGAGACATATATGCCTAAACTTGATCTAAGATTATGGCAAGATACATCACGATTGCGAAGAAGGAAACTCGGTCACAGGATTATCTCAATGCATTATTGTTAATAGGTAAATTCAAGTAAGTGGCGCCAAGACAATAATAAATTAAGGACAACATTTATTAGGCAACTGACACGTCATTCTGTGAGAGTTCTGTGAGGGTGCATTCTGTACGTCTAGCGTGATCGCTTTCTTTAAGCCAGTTTAAAGTAATATATATTTTTTAAAAATTTCTGAATAATAAAAAAGAAAGCAAAAGAAAACCTACTTTTAATCATGATTATTAATTTTTTCCAGTAAATTTCAATTGCAATTGTTACATTTCAATTTGGATCACTTATCGTTTCTCGAATTGATAAAATTGTTTTATCAAAAGGCATATGACTTGCCAACTAATCACTACGGCATGTCAAGCGAGCATTAATACACTGAATGAGTTATGATGTAGACTAAGTAATTTTTATTTGTTTGGGGAACAATATGTGACTAATGTAACACAATGGCGAAATTAGAAATTAAATTGAAACTGATACCTCGTTGGAACAATCTTTCTCGTACAATTGCTTGTTCTTTTTATTCTCTAATATCATTTTAAATTCCAATGACAACTAGCTATGATTGTCAAAGGAAGAATAAACGTGGAAGCTTCCCATTTTGACGGATCCCAAATGCAAGTCATTGAAAAGGTAAATAAAAATGCACAAGAAAATTCATTTACAAAACAAATATTTGATTTGGTTAATTAGTCAGAACAAAGCAATTGCATATATATATATATATGCAATTGAATTCTTGACTGTACACACTGACCTATGTTTTTTTGTATTATTGGTCACCACTTTCTCAAAGAGTCCTTTTTCTCAATTGTACACATTGCCCTATGTTTATTATTATTATTATTATTATTAGTATTATAACTTGAGTACGTTGCTGGAATAAACTTTCCCCTCCAATGTCATTTTCTATTCTATTCATTATCTGTATCTTTTAAAATTCTTTTTGCACCGACCATTAACATGAAAAGCAAAACAAAACCTACATGTCTAGGATTGGAACGAAGGATGGTCCTCCTTTTGATCAAATCCACATCACATGTGATCATTATTCTTAATTTGTCGTGTAAATTCATTTGCAGAGATTAAACTGAGTTACTGAAATTTTAATTGCTTTCATGAATCCCTCGATGATTGTTTCTCAACTACTACATCAACAACGGAAGCTTGATGAATTCCTTTTGGAGGGTCAAAAGAGTTTCGTGGATTCCTATATAAGTTTATTTCTTTCTTTCGATTGAGATTCATGGTGAGAACTAGAAATGAAATACAAGCATTTACCACTTGGACTTTGACAACAAAACAAAAATCATATGATATTAGACTACTCGTCTTTTGATTTCAATATAATAATTTTATATGGATGGTCATCATTTTCTATAAAAATTAATTATCTTGATATGGATGATCAGCATTTTCCATAAAAAAAAAAAAATGCCAAATCAACTAGGTAAATGTGTAGCTTCAACCAACTTGCCTTTTAAAATAAAATGAATGAATTGAGAGGCCAAATGTATCTCATCATCCCTCTCTTTTGTCTCAAACCAACAATATTTTGATTTGTGATTACATTTGTTGACCTCCGAAAATGGCTAATAGGTATTGTTAGGAGATAGTGCACGGGTGGACCCATTTTGTAGTGTATCTACTGTAAATAAGTTTATAGAAGAAGAAGAAGATAGAGACAATATATTATGTTCTCTTTTCTATTCAAGGATCCATCCTCCAAAATGATACAAGAAAGAGGGTGTTTATAGTGTTACACATAAGATGTTGTCCATTGATTGAGGAGCCACGTGGCTTTATCCCCTTAACCAAAGCATCTAGTTCTACTCATCATTTTTGACTTCTTAGCCTGTGGTGCATTTAATGTTCTTACACATATGGGTCATCATATTGACAAGACAAGATATTTATACTTATTAGAAAGGTCACATCAATCAGTTCCTAAGATACGCTTGTCAAACCCTTTGGGGGTTAAGGACCTCCGTGCCAAGGGGTTCGGCAGGAAGATGTCAACACACTTCAGATGAAACCCCCATTGGTATTTCTTTAATTGAATTTCGTTTGTACAAGGCCAGAACCATTTACTCAAGGCTTCAACTTAGGGACCTCTTGCGCCTCGGTTTGAGGCGTGGACCTCTTCTTGAGCTTTGGTGGACATCCTTGAAAGCACGTCGACAAGCACTTCGGCCATCTTTGAAGGTACCTTAGCTTACCTTTTGAAGAGCCTCGATTTGG